AAGGAATGTTCGTGTGTTAATGGCTATTATAGTATTAGTGATTATATGAATGATAACACACTCTGGAAATGAATTGATCGCTCCAGGCTCTTTCAAGTGGAGTTTAATAATTGTACACATATTTGTAAATTTTTTTGGCAAGTAAAAAAAAGAAAAAAATGTCCCGCTGAGTTTCTTACGCCGGTTCTTCTCAGGTCAGTGGCTTACCTTCCGAACCGGTGGTAGAGTTTTTTGACTATCAATAAGTAAGTGAATGCTTCTATATTGAATAAAGATATTTGACTTTGACTTTGATTTGAAATGCGTTAAAGTCACATAGCAACTTTGGCTGTTGTATTAATAGGCACTCTCGTCTGGGGAAGTGCCACAGCCACACAGAAGACCAACTTGAAGTAGAAGTATTCTACTTTCGTGTTTGGTCTGGAGATTTAACTAACCTGGCCCATCATTTTCTAAAGGTTGGTGATGCATCTGCAAATTCACAAATATTGTAGATAGCGGTAATCAATTAACATAAGCTAAACTGCCTGTTTGTCTGCCAACTTTTCACATAAAAAGCCTGGGATGGGTAAATAGGGTGAATGTTTTTGTATATGTAATGAATATATCTTTATATATCAAGTAAAGGGTAGATAAATAAGATTTTATTTATGAAATAACTTATCATAATCAAATTTTTACACTGCTTGCAGAATTACTTCACAACTTAACAAACTGATAATAATAGAGGTATTTGTTTACCATCTTTTATATAAACATAGTAAGTGGTAAAAACAGTTGCAATTTGAGGGTTTGCTAAACATTTCTGTATAAAATATAATATGTATGATGCCCATAGTTATTCAATTGATTTTACTTTAAGTTTAGTTGAAGAAAAAATAATTGTTGAAGCAGATTATAAATTTTATTTTGATATAACCAATTAACTGTTGATATTTAATTAAATACCATTATAAAACTGTTTTTAATACCATTAGTAGCAAAATGAAAAGGGTAGAGTTTAATTTGCTATCTATAATTATTGCAAACACAGAGATATCATGGAGCAACAAACTGTACACATTAACAGGAAGCTTGGACTGTTACTTATAAGCACTTAAATAATTTCTCTATCAACAGAGTTTATAAACTCAAAATTGTTTCTTTACTAAAAAAAACTGTTCAATTTTACAATATAAGCGCAGAGGTATGAAGGCTCTACAGATTTGAGCAGTACATACAGATTTTTAGTATATCGTTTCAGACAAATGACATTGTTTTTATCTGAAAATGATGTGTAATAAATCTTGAATATGGCATGTAAAAATTATTTGGTTGATACACTCAAGATGGTAGATGAACATTAACAGAAAAATCTTTTAAAATTGAGGGGTTTTATAACATATTAAAATATAGTAATTATTATATAATAGAAAGAAGCAAGTATAGTAAAATAAACAAAAGATGTACTATGACTTTTTTAGCTACCAAAACTTCTCAGCAATAACTGTACATGTTTATTGTGTAATTTACAATAACTATGACAAAATAAATGTAATCATTTTCAAATATTGTAAGACTGGAATTAAAATATTATATTTCATATTAAATTTTAGCCAATATTTTTCATATAAAAATGAATAAATATCCTTACATTTGGCAATAAACGCCTTAATTTTCAAATTAGAAAGAAGATTATATATATAATACACTGATATACTTAACCTTACAATATTTTATAACATAAAAAAGCCGTAAGACTACAGTGCAACAAGTAATCTACAAGAAGTGAGAAAAAAATGTATCAAACATAGAGAGGAAGAAAAACTTTAAACTAAACATCGAAACTACTTTCGACGAACAGCGTTGCGGATTGCGGCCAGCGTTAAGGATATTAATAGAACCACACTCACTGAGCTGTGAGCTGAGCAACAGGCTGAGAAGGAAGCTATTATTTACAGTACAGTCTGGAAATGTACTACTGAAAAGACCTACGACCGTACCAAGATTGATTTAGCCAGCGAAATAAAAATTAAACTATGTGCAAAGTGCCAGGCGCGGGTGTCAATTGTCATCAGACGAACAACATAGATGAGACATGCAATTTCATTCAGACGGTTACCTCCGTTGTTGTCCATTGCACTATATAACGATTGTCTCGCTGGCAGACACCTCACGGCCTTCTTTCGGTTGCGCACAGTTATTTTAACTTCGTCATTGTAACACTGACCAAAACACACTTCGCAGTTTCAGATTGTTTCCGCTACTAACTTTGAACACTAAATCTCACTCGTTAGTAAGCAATCAAAAAGTAATACACGCACGATCGACTTCACTATACGTAAACTAAAGACGTACCTCCACGGGCATGATCCTATAATAACTGGCTCTTCGCTCGTCCAAGGAACTAGTTATCAAGGTCTCGACGAAAACAGCATGCACGCATCCATGAACTTTTAAACACAAATTGGCTGGACAAACAACACCGTCCACAACAAGATTAACTCGAAATAGCGAATTTATAACAAATCTCTATACAGTTTTAAAAGAGAAATATTTTGAAAGACGATTATTTAAGTCTAATGTTAACACTTCGTCCGACGGAGTGAACGTCAAATGAAATGATGACAAACCGGGCAAATGTGTGTGTTAAATCTGAAAAACACACAGTAAAAGAACGCCTCCTATTGGTAGCGATATGTCACATGGGCAGAGTGACGTATGCGGATACCGCGCATGCGCAGTCTTAACTCAAAACTTTTTTACACAGGAATGAGCGAGAGGAAAACAAAGAGATAAGTCTATGGACATAACATAGGACATTTCCCGCGTTAATTTTCGAGTCAAAGCCAACTCGTTACCTAAATATCGTATTGCCTACAAAAATATGAAAATAAATTTATATTCTTATTATATGTCGACTTACAGTTGCAATTACCACAAGTAAACTTTGAAACGATTTGAAATTTAAGTAAAAAGAAGTGCAAAGACGTACTAATTTTAAATTCAAATAAAAAAAAAAAGTTTTAAGATAAAAACTATTTATTTCTATATTATTAATGTGTAATACTAAAATCCAATTTTAATGAATAATAGAAATGAAAAATTTTAGTGGTAGTCTGTGCACTTGAAATGAAACTTGAAAATGAATTCGATTCTGCGCCCAATTACTAATTACTACTAATTTTTTTTCTTCTAAAGTTTTCATTTCTTAAACTTTCTCAAACATAAACTAAACTGTTTACAATTTCACCCATGCATAATCTAAAAATTTCTATCCGTGAAACTTATAATTACTAACCCCATTTAATTAGTAACGATTTATTGTTATTTGTTTAAAATAAAATGGACAGAATTCTTTTAAAACAAAAGAACTGACATTTTTGAAATATTGAGCATTAAAAGAAGTTATATATCATTTTAACTTATTTTAAGGCCTGAATTACATGGATTTAAACGTGTGTAAATAAAGTATAGTACGACTATAGACTTTCTTTTTAAATATGGAATTGCTAAATAAAAGTAATTAACGAAATTCCCCGATTTAAAATAAAAGTGTTAACTGTTTCATATATCAACAAGCCTATGAGTCACGAAGTTAATAAATAAGGCTAAGGATTATAATACGGGGTGTCAGGTGTTCAGTTTTCAGAATATCTTTACATTCGGGAGTATGACTCATCGCCTCCCTAGCAGAGGTGATACTTTAGAGTACGGATAAGAAGTAAGAAGCACACTGACTAAAAAGTTGTTGATATACCCACTAGGAATAAAAATTAACAAAATCACTTATTACAGTACAGATGCTATTAGCGTTTCATGCGACATTAGATGGTATCAATCGGGTGAAAATATGTATGCTAGGTTGGCATCGAATAAAACTGCTCATTTTCCTGTTAGGACCAACTGTATACAGAGCTATAATTATGAGTAGAAAGTTTGTTTTGCGGCATTGCAACGGCGATGTGACTCAGTTGGCGGCAGGGCGACGCGCCTGTCACTTCGCGTGTGGCGCCAAACCCGCCATTTTGCCTTTAAACTTCGATTCAAATTTCAAAGTGATATTTTTATTGTAGGCTTGAGTCCTTGTACGATACCCTATTTCACCCTCTTTTGGAATTGCGTAGTATTACTGAGTTGAATTTTTAATGAAGCTGATACTGTTAAAGCATTAGTTGGTACCTACCCAATACTTTTTCTCCAGTTAATTGGAATTTTTAATGTATATGTTTAAATATATAATCAATCAATAAATGTTTTATATGATAACCGAACTTCAAAGTAGGTATTATTAAAAGAGCTTTGAAATTTTAAAATGTATAAAGTGCAGTATTTGAATATAAAGACATCTTTATGAATTTGATATTGCAGTGGTTTTGACACGAATCTTACAATTTTTATCGATACTTTGTGAATATTAATAACGGATATTTGGGATACCATTATTTCTGAAAGAAGGCTAATGTATGGGTCGGTGTTTAGTATAATTGAAGTTTATTTTTAGGTTGTTGCACGATTGGGCAGGCTCATCCAGGGAAGCACCATGTGCTCACAGAAGACCCGCGTAAAGGGGGAGTGAGATAATCGGGCCCCACTTTTTAGCGGGTTGTCATCGCATCTACAATACCTCAGATTTCCATGGGTGGCGACAATCATCAGGTGACCGGCACGCTTGACAACTTTTCACATAAAAATAAGAATGAGTTACTACAAGTTACAACTTACACACAAGTTAAGCATAAGAACTATTACGGCTTATCATTGATATTGGCATAAGTTGGTCTGGAATCATCCCAATTCCACATTTAACTACGATCAATTTCGCATGACCATGAATGCTGTGTAATGTGTACCTAAAACTGGATTCAACTGCAAACAGAAAAACAAATAAAAAATTGTGAATACAAAGTCTCATCTTACAGGCAGCATTTGCGAGTATGCGAAAGTTTCGAAAAAAAAATCTTTAAAAAAAAGGCAAGGCAACAAACAGTACAGGGTACAGGCAGTCGAACTGGCGACGAATGGGCGATACGATCAGGAATAATTTAAAGTGCGAGGGTGCGCCGCGGCGCCAGCCAGTGCGGCGCCCGAGGGCGAAGCGCCGACGGGCCGGCCCTAGTCGCAGGTAAGCTGGCGAAGAAATTCATTGTTTTTGTACGCTTCTGTTAAAAAAATATAAAATAAGGCTATGGATCCCTACATTGGTAGTACTTCAATTTTTCGGTTTTCAAATAATTTCGTTTTAATCCCACAAAATTTAAATAAAGAATGAAACAATATAGTCGTATGTTGTACTAGAGGAAAAAAATGTGTGGAGCGGTTTTTTACGTGTCTACTAAGTGTAAGAAGGCTGTCTAGAATCCAATATTATGGTAAATTATTATCAGCGTATGCTGATAAACTGAGCTTATGTTTATATTTGTTTATCTCCTATCAATTTTGAATTATGTATTGCAATATTGGTAGACACTTCACTTTTTGGCACATGTTCTCTATACCAGTGAACGCAAATAAAACATTCGAATTTTTGTATTTAAATCTAATTTTTTCAAAATTTATTGAACTTTACAAATGGCGTTTAAATAACTGTAATATGATCGGTATAAGACTTTATGTGGCCAAGTTTTCTAAGCGTAAATAAATGCTAAGAATATTACAATACACCTTATGTTATAGATGTCTCGGTGGCGCAGTTGCTATTGGATTCGGCGTCCGGTGTCGTGGGTTCGATTTCACAGGTAATTGTCCAGCCGACAGGACCGAATTCGTGAGACCCATAGGATTCAGATGTACATTTCCAAAAACGGTTGATATCTGGCAGGCGGCCGGTCGTAAAAAAAACTAGTCAATACCATTAATATGATTCACATGTTGTACCGTCATGGCATAAAGGCAGAAGAAAAAAACAATATTAAATCATTACCCAATTTTCGACTACCCAATTGGCGTAGTGGACCCTGTCGGTGTACCAACAATTAAAAATTGTCCGAGACAGAATCACCTGCATATGGCAAAATGGCTACAGTCATCAAGGTCTGTTATTGAGTTTTATATTGATTAAAAGAAAAACTCCAAGGAGTCGAGTACCGACACTCGAGTTGGTTCAAACATTTAAACTCATTTCGAATGAAATGACGACGAGCTAGTTGATTAACGGAAACGTCTCCGCGTTTTGACAATTCAAATAGAACGGTTTCATATCTGTACCGAAGTTCATGTATTCTCAGCATGAATAAATTCGTACCACATTAACGTTGCCTATTTATGTGTCGCGATATGGGCAACAAACAGAGGGTTGAGTCAGCGAGTGTCTTTATACGTATATAGTTTCGTTACAACATGTAGAATTCATGCTCACATAATTTACCTTAAGGGAGCATTAAATTCAATGACCTTGGTAACAACAATCAGTAAAAATGAATTTGAATTCGTCAGATCGATAGCAGATCGTAGTTGAAGAAAAAGATGTTTTTCACGCTCATTAAAATTCATAAAATAATTTAATGAATCAAAATAGGTACATTTTTTAAAAATAAAATAGTTATTAATTATTTTAATCAAATAGATAAATAAAAAAGTATTTTAAAAATAAAAGTTTGTCCAACAGCAGGCCACTTTCAAACGCGTTAACCTTTACGTTCCAAAAACGAAAATAATTAATTCAAATCCGTGTGACAGGCAATCATAAAACTGACAAGAGTCATTGTAAATGCAACATTTGTAGCCGATCGATTTATTCATAAAATGCCCGAGCAATCGCTTAAGATGCCGCAAAACGCTTCACCGCCGGTCAGGACCGGTGCTGGTGATATTTCCGAGAGGGAGCTTTCCAGGGAGCAATACAGCTTGAATTCAACACCCACAGCGTAAGTTTAATGGAATAAATAGATCAGTTTCTGAACGTAGTAGTGTCATTTCAAATATTAGTTAAAAACTGGTCATTTGTTACCATAGACTTGTGTATGTCATAACGTCTATTTGGTAGGAGTAACTAAAGGTTTTTTTGGTAAATGTAAATAACTTTAACTCCGGCGTAATTCAAATCAAATAAATTTTAAATGATAGAGAAAACTCACTTATGAATTTATCAACAAGCAGAATTCGGCGGTCGCTTATAGTTTTCGAAAAAATAAATAATGAAATAGTGTGATTTTTACTATAGAAATCCGCCATTTTTTTGTTGTCAATATGTCAATTCAGGTCGTATTTCTTGGTGGTCATAAAAAAAAAACCTAACATCGAAGGTTAAGGCCTGAACCTTCTAACCTAATCTATCCGAGTCGGATTCGCTCTGTGTCGGTTCTGTGACTCATTAAATTTAAAAAAATCGGAATATCGATACGTGTATGATGTCGCCCGCTTCCTATATTTATCATGTTGGCAGAACTGTGCAAAGAACTTTTGAAGTCAAACAAATAAAATGGTGGATTTCTTAGTACAAAAAACAAGTTTTAAATATTTTTTTTCTCGAAAACTATAAGCGACCGCCAAATTCTGCTTGTTGATTAATTCATTAGAGATTTTTCTCTATCGTTTAAAATTTATTTTAATTGAATTACGCCGGTGTTAAAGTTATTTACATTTACCGTTTTTTTTTATGGAAGGTGTTAATGGTGTAGGCGGTTCACGTGACGTTGGGTGATTACTGATTACTATAGCCCGTGGATATTTGATTCCTGTCTGAAAACTGTTGCGTGGCCTTACCAATACCGAATTAAAGGAAATTTTAAACCCTGCCTTCTTGCTGTAAACGAGCTACGTCCCAACGGAGGCGTCCAACTAGCGCTTTTTGCGGATGATACAGGCCTTTTTATAACGAAAAACTTGCTGTATCCATTTCGAAAACGCTGCCGTCTGATTGGTGCCAATAAACAATTGACTGCCCAAGCAGAGTTAACACTCAATCTTACCCTCTAATATTATGGAGACATTAAAAGCGTTTCTCTAAGATTTCTCTTATGTCGTCGAAGGGATACTATAGCAGTAGACATATGATTTATTCCCATTAAAATGTTTATTATTATACCACTCGCTACAATATGAATTCGCTAGAAATATTAGAAATATTCGCTATCATCATCATCATAATAATAATTATTTCAGTCTGTAAGAGTTCACTGCTAGACATAGGCCTCCCCCACAAACTGCGAAACACGACCCACCTGCATCCATCGACTACCCACACATTTGCACAGGTCACCACCATTGGCGTATCTAGGGCTATTTTTCAGGGTGGGCCTAGGCCCTTACTACAAAAGAAATCGAACACTATTTCAGCAATAGATATTAAAGTGGAAGGTTTACATGTAATATATATGCATAGTATAGTAAAGAATATTCGAGAAATTCAATATCTACATTGCACCTCGCTCGGCTTCAATGTGCTTTTGGGGTTGAAGGATAGGTGTCCAGCCTAGAATTTCGAATCGGTAACCCAAAATCCTGGGGTGGGCACTAGACCATACTGGGGTGGGCACGGCCCACCCGGCCCCCCCGCTATATACGCCTATGGTCATCACTCCATCTAGCGGGGGGTCGACCAACTGCGATGGCAGTACGAGGCCATCTATAATATCTATTCTTATGATAATATAAAATTAATGACTATTGATTTACGATGATTAAAAACATTAATGACTATAATAAACTATTTCGGTAACGAATCAAACGCATACCAATCAATTATTATGTAATAAACAGATAAAAATTTAACAGATAAAACTGTAGGTACTTTATTTGTGATGCCAACAATTAATTGGGTGGAAGTCATTAGGCCTTATACATAATAGCTATTACGTGTTTGATATTGTTAGCATTATTCTATATAACTTTTTAAATTAGAGCCTCTGTTTCTTCTTCCCACGAGTAAACGGGAAACTTCCTTTTTGTAATTTTTATATCTTATCGATGTGGGGGAGGGGGGGGGGGGCAACTCTGATGTCTGTGTGTCAGCACACGTGACCACACTCACGTTTCACGAAATTCATAAATGACAATCACGCTTGTAATGTAAGCATATCATTACGCCATGCGACGATTCTGCCTCATAGCGGTTACGGTAACGACACGCATGGCGAACGAATGCGGTCTTATTGTTTTCTTTTCGGCGGGAAATTGCGGGATATCTGATTTTTTTTGTTAAGTTGACAAATTAGCAGGCGCTTCACCTGATGTTAAGTGGTTACCGCCGCCCATGGACATGTACTACACTTGACGAGCTACAGATGTGTTGCCAACATTAAAAAGCCGGTCTTCTCTGAGGCTGTGGTACTCCCCAGACGAGTCTGCCCATTCGTGCAACAACAAAACGGCTACGGACATTTTTTTTTATTTCACAAGTTGCCAAACGAGCAGGCGGTTCACCTGATGCTAAGTGAATACCGCCGCCCATGGACATCAGCTACACCCGAGAGTTGTAGATGCGTTGACAAACTTGAAAATTGGGCTCCGGACACCTCACCAGACGAAACGCGAAAGTAATTATACTTCCACTTGACGCCGGTCTTCTGTGAGGTCGTGGTACTCACCCGGACGAGGCTGCCCATTCGTGCAACTGCCGAGGTTGCTGCGTGGCCCTACCACAGTTATGACGTTAAACCGAAAATGGAGCAGTTTTAGTTTTATTTTCCACGTCATCTGTCAAGGTTGTGGTGGCCGCATAGACAAATATTTTGAAACATTTGTTTCAATTGTTTTTTAATTAGTCATGTTGCCGATATTCGTAAATAATTGTATGTTATGTGTTCATTTGTTTTACCTCACTAACCGCAATTATGTTTGTTTAAATGTTTTCTTATTGTTTAATGCTAATAATTTTGTAACTGAAGTTCGAAAATATCGCGTATGTTTAAATGCTTCAAGAAGAACGAGAAGAAGGTCGGAACTTTAATGATTTATTTTAAAGGCGTCAAACAACTGTTACTGTTCATAGGCCATTTAGTGTTCGTATACTATTCAAATATCTAACAGTACTGTTTAAATGGTCTAAATACTTTTATTTAAATCTACAATTTCATTCTGCAGTACTAATGATGCTCCAGTCAACGGAATCGAATATTGTTCGCTTTTAACTTGCTTTTTTTTAAGTTCACGCCTTACGACTTCACAATTAAATTTTGATACATTATGGTTAAATTTTTGACGCCCATCTTTGAGGCTTCGTCTTCTCAAACAATTATTTCGTCGTGCAGTCAGAAGCTTGAAGCACAAACCGCCAAATTTTGGTCACCAAGCTTGACCAGAACTCAACTTTTAATATCTTTTGTTGGTCTCCTAAACCAAGCTTGATGAAAATTCGACTTGATTTATTTCTTGTAGCCGCGTGCAACCAGCCCACCCAAAGAAGATCCAATACTCTGTTCCGGTGAACAAGTTCACGGCGCGGGGCCACGCGCCCGGCCCCAATCTGGCGCGAATCAAAAGCTGCCTTGATGAATACCGTTGCAAGGGCAAAGCTACACCGAAGGTCGCTCGGGTGGCGCACAAGGCCGCCTCCATGGAGGACCTGACGCCCACCAAGAGAGTCTTGAAAGGGAGGTGAGATGGAGGATGATAGTACCACGTGGTATCCTATTCAGTGCATGAAACTCTGACTTTAACAGAATCCTTAACCTAAAACCCCTAAAGCTTACTGTTTTTAAACACAAAACACTGATTTTAAGACAATATTTATGTATAATATTACAATTTCATCTTATATTTGCTCATTGTCCGAAATAATTTAAATTTGCTTTGATACTGACGATTTTCAGGTGTAGATAAATCACATGTTTAATATATTCTTTTTGTTTGTGAGAGGAGGTGGCAAGCGAGCTGGCGATTCACGTGATGTTAAGTGATAATCGCCGCCCATTGACATTTGCAACACCCGTAGAGTTGCAAATGCGTTGCCACCTTTTAATAAATGGGCCCCAGCTACCACTCACCGGACGAAACGCAGAAGTGTAAGACTTCCACTACACGCCGGTCTTCTGTGAGGTACTGTAGCTACCTCCCCGGACGGATCTGCCCGTACGTGCAGCAGCTGTTTCAGAAATGTTATCTGAAACGGCCGTGGTAACGTTCGCAGAAAGGACCCGGGCAACGCATTGTCCGTGGTACGCTCTCCGGGCGTTCGCACCCTGGCGGAGGAGCAGGCCTCGGCCAAGATCGGGCGGTTTATGTTGCTCTCTGCGTGGCGTCGACGCCGTCAAGAACTGCGTTGTCTGCGCAAGACCCTGGAAGTCCAGGTAATTCGTCAATATATATTAAGTTTTGTGACGCTTTTAAGTAATTTTCTTTATATTTTGGACGGTAGATGGTGACAGTAACGATGAGGACAACGCGGCTATAGCTATTTCGACCTGATGATTATGATGATGATAAAAATGGAGTTGATGACGGCGGAGCTTTTGTTGAAGATGACGATTCGAATGCTTATAATGATGCTGACAGTAACATGATGACAACGGGGCTATAGCTATTGAAATACTGATGATTTTGATGATGATGATAAAAATAGAGTTTATGACGATGGAGCTGTTATAGACGATGACGATTTGAATGATGGTTATGGTGACGATGATGACAATGCGGATAGATTTGCTGATACTAAGACGACAGTGTGTGGTTGAAGGTTACCAGCAGTGAACGGCTGCGCGCTCAAGTGTGGGCGCTTAAGTCTCTGCTAGACGCCGACAACAGTAAGGTGCGGCTGGCGATGCGCGAGCTGGAGCGCCTGAAACAGCTGCTGCGAGACAAGGACAGGGAGAAGGCCGTGCTAGAGAAGGTGACGTTTCGCTGTGCGACACTGCAATATGAGGATGCTGTATACTCGAGAAAGAGCTGAGAAAGGGGCAGCTGGAACTTATTACATGAGCTGAGGCCTAGGGCGGCCAAGACTACAAATCCGCCACTGATCAAGAGCCATGTCATATGAAGAAAAAATGGAACGTGTGGACGTGCATGAATTATGAATTATTCTTCCAGTTTTGTTAACAATTCAAGCTCTTCCTAATATATGTGAGTCGGTTGCAGGAACAGCGCGCCCTCGAGGCGGACGTGTGCGCAGCCGAGGACAGAGCATCTGAATTGAGCATTGGTAAGCCAATTTCAGTAATTTCGCATCTTCTATTAGTGTAATCGCATCATCTACAAGCAAAGGCGGTCGCCATGTCTCATTTGTTATGTTTAAGTTGATAGTAAACATTGTTTGAATGAAACTAATTTACGGATATGTTTAGTGATTTTAGTTTTTATAGTTTATTTTACGTATGCTTTTTTTTTAATAGAGGCGTCAGACGTTCCACCGGTTGACGATGTAATATCTAAGTTAAATGGGCTTATTGTAAGCTTTTTAATAATTGAGCCAGAATTATGTTGTTCAAGCTTACAGTATTATTGTATATATATATGTATATGTATATGTATATGTATATACAATGTTGGATTAGCAAAATGTTGAATTCGCAAAATGTTGATTCTCAAAATGTTGAAGTCGTAAAAAGTTGAATTTACTGGTCCCATAATGTTGAATCCCAAAACTTTGAATGCAAAAAAGTTGTATCCCAACAATGCGAATAACGAAAGCAGAGGTATAATCTGAATTGGTTCAAAAATAAATTGAAATGTATGTTTATCTGTGATTTTTATAGATATTGTTATATAAATTATAATTGTGGGGATATTTGTTTTCTCGTCTGGTAGGGGTTATAAATAAAAATAAATATATAGATATAAATATTGTTTATTAAACCGGTGGACGATGCGGGTGGTATCGAGGAGCACCGCCTTCTGCATTTGAGCTTGGAGCGTTCCATCCCGGAGTCTCAGTCGCCTCAGATGTTCATAGAGGCTGACTGGGATCAACCCATCCGCAGACACGACTATCGGGATAATTTCAGTCAACACACCACCCCACATGTCGGTCACCTCGTGAGCCAGGTCCAGATATTTCGTCTTCTTATCTGTTTCGGCTTTCACGAGGTTCTCGTCATATGGGATGGTAATGTCGACCAAAAATACCCGTGACTGTGCCCAGTCCATCAACACGATATCAGGTTTGTTGGCGAGAATCGTCACCTGTACGTGATGATAGGCCGGTCCCAATAGAGCCTTGCGCGGTCATAGTCGAGCACGGCCTTTGGGCAGTACTTGTAGTACGGCAGTTTCCGATCCACGAGACCGTATTTCAGAGCGAGCTCCTGGTGTAGGATTCTGGCTACTAGGTTGTGTCTATGCAAATACTCAGAGTTAGAAAGAATGGAACAACCGGAGATAACATGCCGAAGTGACTCCCCGGGATGGCGACAAGCTCGACAGATGTCGACGGTGCCATCCCTTAGGATGTAGTTCCGATAGTTGTTCGTCTTAATAACCTGATACTGTATCACAGTATCAGGTTATTAAGACAAAACCTTCGGTTTTCCCAAAGCGGTCACCGAAAGGTAGCCAGTTAAGGGAGGCAACAATATCTACGAAAGGTTCGTGCAGAGCCTTGTACAACTTGCCTTGTACAAGAAAATAATTCATACCATATCAGAAGATGAAACTTCTTTAAGTCTAAGGACTGAAAGAGGAACATCAGTTATACAAAAAAACAAAAAAAAATGTAACACAATTTTTTATTCGATGTTACTTGGTTTCGACTTTTCTTTTTCGATTTCCTTTTGTTTTGCACTATTCGATATGACCCAGATAGTACCAAACAACACGGAACAATAATACCATACACCCAGCAATTCATTAGTTAGGATTCAACATTTCGCAACTTCAACTTTTTTCGAATTCAACATTTTAGGAATTCATCATTGAGACCCGGGTGGGAATTTCAACTTTTTACGACTTCAACATTTTGGGAATCAACATTTAGCGAATTCAACATTTTAGGAATTCAACATTTTGCAAATTCAACATTGTGTACCTGAAGGGATATATTATTAGTCTTACGTCTACTTTGGATTATAGGATGGCAAACTGTTGGTTAAAATCAACCTTCTCTCTCTTTCCTATCTTCACTATTGAAGTCGGTGTGTTTTTTTGTTCTAAATAGCTTCGCAAATAATCTTCGGAAGTAGTCTGTGCTCTTTTGCGAGTATTTTCATTTGGAACTCCACCATAGGATGTTAAATTAAATTCTTTTTGTTCAACAACCTCGTCACTCAATAGTTATGTTTTTTTATGTAAGATGCAGACAAGTGAGTTCGCGGTTCACCTGATGTTAACTGACCGCCGTGAACATCGCAACACGCGTTGGGGCTTAAAAATGCCACCTTTAATAAAGTAGGCCCTGGTAAAAGTAACTCACCAGACGAGGCGCAGAAGTGTTACACGTCCATATCACGCCGTTATTCTGTGAGGTCGTGGTACTCAGGACGGAGCTGCCCATTCGTGCAACAGCGAATACTGTTGCGTGGCCCTACCACGGTGAGTGGTCAAGACCGAGACACGAAAGAAAGATACGTTTATTTGTTAGACTTAGAACATAGTACAATATAGGTCTTGAAAGCTGTGGATCCTTTATGTTCTACCATTACATTTACATTATAAACATACAAGAAAAAACAAGAAAAGTAAATATAATCCAGAAAAACTGGTTTTATAAAATTTTATCACGAATGAATGAATATGCATGAAACGGGAAAACGTAGGGCTTCGCAACTGCCGCAACGAATTGGAAGCCGCCCTCTGTTCCGCCGAGGAGTGCGCGCGAGCCCTCGAGCTGCAGAAGGGCGCCGCGGCGGAGGCGGCCGCGCAGCGCGATCTGGTTCTGGACCAGGTAATCCTGCAGCCCTTATCTTGTATGTAAGCGTAACCCCATTAATTTTCCCATAGGCTTGTAATTTGCAGTCGGGTCTTTTCTGTTATTAAACTTAATGCGGGTACTAATATTGACTTCCAGCTCACAATAAGGTAAGTAGAGACTACCGTAAGTCTGTTGAACCGAAGTGGAGTTTACTTTCTTTACGATTTATTTCAATTTTGATTTCTATTTGCAATTTTGTCTCGGTATTCTTAGCGCATTACTTTTAAATTATTTATATTATATATTTAAATTAGCTTTTGCGGTTGGGATTTTTGATTTTTTTAAATTTTTTTCATAAGAAAATGATAAATTGACTGGCGTACGAGATTTTACTGGTCATATCGATGAACTAAAAATTTATCTCAAGTCTATACCGGCATAACACACATTTAAAGTTTAAAACCAATAATCCTCTATCATTGATAGGTTTTATGTTTAAATTAGCTCCCCTAAGGAAACGTCAATCATTTACCATCATCATTATCAGCAGCCTTTGATTGTCCACTGCTGGACGTAGGCCTCTCCTATAATGAACACTAAAACTATTGGCGTTAAGGTCCAGTTGCTGCCAGCAATCTCACCCAAGTCAATAATTTACAATGATTATGAAGAAAATAAGTTAAACGATCAGTCTTTTTTACGTATTTTTATAAGAAGATGGCAATCGAGCCGATAGATGGTAGGTACACCTGATGTGATAACCACCACCTATGGACATTTGCAACACCCGTAGGCCGTACGGTAGGAGATGCGTTGTCGTCGTGTAATAAAGTGATACCCGGCTACCTCACTCACCAGACGAAACGCATAACTATAAAACTTCCAATTCACGCCGGTCTTCTGCGAGTTGCGTGTTACTTACCCCACCGGACCTTCCCATTCGTGAAACAACGAAGACTTGCATGGCCCTGCCACAGTCGAGTGTAGCTGGGTGTGGTGAAACCGTCAGCTGGAGCAGCTGGAGGCTGAGCTGCTTCGGCGCGAAGCCCTGCTGGCGTCTGCGGAGGCCGAGGCGGCTGCTCTGCGTCGAGACTCTGAAGAGAAGCAGAGGGCCCTCGAGTGGGCCACACACAGGCTCAAGTTGGAACACGAGTGCGTGAAACATTGAAATTTGTAGAAAAAAGGACGACAAGTTCTTCACCGCTGCGGGAACACACTTACATTTAACACTAACCTAACGGTCGTTTCCACACCGAAAACCTCAACGTATTTTGTTTAGGTTGTTTTTCATTTAAGCAATCCTTGGCGCATCTATTGTTTGCTTTTAGAACACACAAATAATTTCAAATTTCGTTTTACAACGATAATTCGAACGAGAGAGGTGGGCATTGCTGTTCTTGCAGCTTCGTGACGTGTTTGTGCGCTTGCAGTTACGTGCTATGTTAGAGGCGTTGCGAGCCAAAATATCTTTTTCTACCGGTCAAGTTTAGCGTCGAGACGCCAAATTTGGCCTGTAATAAATTACAAATTGCTTTTGAGCGTTGAAAGGAAATAATAGCTCATATATATATATACAAAGCTGCGGGGTATATGCCCCGTAACACATAATATATAACATAGCAAAATCGAATGGGGAAAGTACAATAACATCTCATAATGTCAGCCCGAAGTAATCGGTTTATTACCTTTCACGTGTAAATGCCCCTTTACACATTGAGCCAACGCGTTGGGCCAAAGTTGGCGTTCGCGGTGTGCACCTGGTCAAACATTTGCGTACTGCTCATTGTGCATTGGCGCTCCTTTGATGTGTGCTGAAAAAACCGCCACATATCGGCTAGCCCTCTCCACGTTGGTGAAATGCATTGGCCCAATGCGTTGGTCCAATGTGGAAGGGGCCTTTACACGTCAGAGAGTATAGAGAAGGGGCGGTAGGGCGCGGGTGCGGGCAGAGGGCGCGCGCGTGCGCTTGGCGGGCCGCGCCGCGCGCCTGCGGGCCGCGGAGGCGCCCCTGCGCGCAGAGCTGCGGGCCCGCGCGCTGCAGCTGGCCGACGTGCGGCGCCGCTGGCTGCCCGCGCCGCTGCTCAGGTACCACACTTGCGGGGGTGGAATCTTTATAAATTGTTATGGACTCCGTGGCGCATACTGTGTGCTCTTTGGCTTCGACGTCGGGGGTCGTGGATCTAAGTGTTTGTACGCGTGACATTTATGAATGTAAAACGTCTTTACAACACAGGATAATGTTAATCTAAAGTAAGGGCACTGTTTTTTGTTATGCGCATTGTGTTGCTTTGTTCACATATTCGAAGTAGTCAAGTAACAGCCTATAATTATCTGTCCCACTGCTGGAAAAAAGCCTCTTCTGTACAAAAGGTATTAGGGCATAATCCACTACTGTGGCCCCAGTACGAATTGGCGGACTTACACATATCTTCAAAAATTTTTTTGTTATTTTATCGAAAATATGCAGGTTTCCACACGATGTATTTCTTCCCCGCCAAGCACTCGGATTACTCGAATACAATGTGTTAAAAGGTAGCGCCGGACACGCCTATCACGGCTCTCCAAAAGTATAAAAACGAGAAATTCCCTGTAGGATGTTGGAGTCTGCAAGGAGTATGCTGATTCGGCACTCTTCCTTCCACGACGTTTTCATCTGGTCCATGCTGCCTGCCCGCCACGGGTGCTGACCAACTTTCGCCAGAAACCCTTATTAGCCGAGGAAAACCAGTATTGGTTTACGCTTGACGCGATAGTTAGTAATAATTAATAAAATGGTTACGTGTAGACGTAATCTTTTGCTGGCAACTGATTTTACTGTCAGATTTTTCGGTTTTAGTCCATATTTAGATTTGTTTCAAATGTCTAAAATTAAGCATTCAATTTATCGACGGATAATACCCATTTATAGGCGAGGCACAAATGAAAGGTAAGTAATTTTAGATATATTATACCTAGGTTTTTATAGGTTATGTTTCGGTATTTTAAAACGTTCCTATTTCTAGTTTATTTGTAAAGACATTGTCTAGTTTTAAGTACTGTACGAATAAAGAATTTTGACAAAATTTTGAATATATTATTGATATGAAAAACTTTTCTATTTCTATGATTTCCTTAGGAGATAAAAGTATATATTCAATATATATACCTCAGGAAATATATATATATAAGTTAGGTTAGCCACTTGATTTACATTTCCACCTCTTATATACCAGAGTATAGAAAGTATAATATACAAAATGTAACTAGTAAAAATAAGTGGATGAAAATAAATTTTATCATTAATAAGATTTTTAATCAATATTGATTTAATTGTCCATAATATTCAAGCTGTCGGTATTGACCTCATTGAGAGATTGACGCTAAAAATTAAATCTAAAGTCGGGAACTATTTTTGAAGTTTGTAATGGCTTCTTAGCGATACAAAAGTAGAAAGAATGCAGTCTCTCGAGGACATTGTAAATCAAAGCGGAAGCTAATCTGTCTGAAAATACAACTGGATTATTGATGCTAGAGTTATATTCGTTACACCGTCAGTCACACAAATCGAAATGTCCAGTCCGATAAACAATGCTTACATATGACGACCCGAATGGCGTAGTGGTTAGTGTACCTGCCTCCTGCGCCAGAGGGTGTGGGTTCGATCCCCACTACTGGAAAAATATTGTGTGATGAACATAGTGTTTTTCTAGTGTCTGGGTGTTTATATATCTATAATATGTATTTATTTACAAAAGAAAAGTATGTTTAAGTATGTTTATCAGTTTTCTAGTACCCACATAGTACAAGCGTTGCTTAGTTTGGAACTAGGAAATGTGGTGTAAAAATGTGTCCTAAAATATTTACTATTATTATTATTATTTATTATTATTATTATATTTACGACTGGACTTGTTTTGGGATTTGAGAAGCAAATATTAAAGCGTTATCCTAACAAGTCTACTTTTGTATTAACGACAAACAAAACGGACTTCAAATATCTCGCTCCGTATTCATTTCATAACTGATTTTCGGGAGTTTTCTAAGTATCTCCGGAGCCCGAGATCCAATACCGATGAAATTAATACGGGACCACATGGGAAGCAACGGCTTTCAAACAAACAAACAAAATCATCAAAATCGGTTGCACTATGGGTAGCAAACATAAAAAAAATACAGTCGAATTGAGAAAATAAACGTTGTTAGTTTTAGCGTACGATCTAGTGACGACCATTGTTCGTTGTTTTTGGCTCTTGCTGCATTTGTTTTAGTCAACACCCCGTAAGTAGCAAAGCAAACAGAGCTAACGGGAACTCATTACACTAATGATTTATCAAATGTATCTGTAAACTTTATAAGATATCGATATCCTAAGTCTATTTAACAAAAAAACGTTATTTCTTATTGATATTTACAAATTCTACAAATGTCAGACAAACGTCGCAGCAGACGCAATAATGATGTGATAAACCTTGGCTATTAACAGAACAATAACTTTCAGAAATACCTAACATTTTGGTGCTTTTGAAGGTAAAATAAAAGATGAGTTTACATCCATTATCTTTATTTCAGTCTTAAAATGCTAATCAACAAACTATTATACACTACAAAATATTAATATTTGGAATGGTTTACATCACTTTGATTCGCCGATTTGAATTAAATGACTAAGTTTCTTCTTTTAATGAGATTCTAACTAATAGCGATCCTCATTTTAGCGGACGCCTCTACTTTAAATATTAATGTTTGTCTTATAATAGAGATTTCAGACATTTAAATTAAATAAAATTATTTGTGACACAAAGGGCTTCTAAAGGACGGGACTAAACACAAGCACATAGGTGCTGAAATACCAACAGGATGGGTTTTCGGAACAACTCTTAAATATTATTCAAATAAACCATTTGAAAGAAATTTTGTGCGATATCGAAAACGCAGAAGCCATAAAACGGTAGAAAAATCTACGAAGATAATGACTAGATTTAACTGGTATCTTTTTTCTTCATAGTAAATAATATCTAATAAATAAATGAGTTTTAAAACAAGATTCAAATGTTTATAGTAATCTACAATAGTAGTTTAATCACTTAAGGCGTGAAATCACAACGATTCTTTATTTACATTTTCACAAAAAGTTGACTAAATATACATGAGATCAGTTCAACTACAAAATGTCTATATGCTACTTTTTTATTGAATATAATTATGTAGTTATTGCGATTAGGCCATTTAAATTTTCGGTTACCCAGGAAAAGCAGTTTGGCGATGCACGAGGATTTTCTTTTCGAAATTTTTACTAATTTTGCGAATTGTATTATTATTCATAATAAATGCAATTCCCATATAGGTACATATCGCAATTATTCATATTCATTAGAAGAATAATTGTGCTATGCATTTAAAAATATACCGTGTAAAATCAGTTATATCTAGGTGTAGCGTTCGTATTTTTTTAAATTAACATTTGTTGTATGTAAATTAGGCGACGCTGAAGTTACAAAAGGAAATGCAACCACAATAAATAAAGCTTGCCTAAAACTTGAGCAATCTACGTCTATTCTTTGTTGTAGTATATACATTAACGTTAAACGTTTTCTTGTAATGTATTGAGATACTTATATTCTTCAGTTATTATAAAAGTTAGGTTTACGTATATCGTGTACATGTTAAATGCAAGCAATTGATAACAATACACTAATAGAGACTAGACTGCACAATCTTAATTGGACACGTCCAAATATATTATCTTTATGGTAAATGTTTTCACATAAAAAGTACCGTGTTTTAAATTCCAAAAGAAACATTGAAGTCATTTGGATCACTTAAATCGCATCCATTTATCAACTTTCATGTACCTTATGTTAACATATGTAGCCATGATTAAATAAAAGCCGAGAAAACGGAAAAATAGATTATGTTCACAAAGACAAATAACCGACACCAATGATATGACCTTTATATAAATACAATGATATTAAAGAATTATTAAAATATCAGGCGTGCTGATTAAGTTTCTTTAGTCGACAATATTAAAAATAGCGTGACAGTTATTACTCTACGTCAACGGCGTGATTATTTAAAGATGAACTTTAACCTAAATCAGCGTCATTTAGTCTGATATTCTGCCCAATAAGTAATAGTATATAAATAGCTTGATTGCAAATGACATAAATTTACAAAGCAATTCAATAAAAATTTATTTCTGAAATATTGTTATAGAAAACATCACTTCTGTATAGATGTTCACAAAAACTACGAAATACCTCTTTTTATAATGGACATAAAATTTTAAAAAGCAAATTGAAAATAATAAAAAGATATTGTCGCGATCAGATCTTCGAGCGCAAATTGCTACAATTTACATATTGACCTGCGCGCTTTCCTTACGATGAGTTCTCCTAACATATATGACATGTTTAAATTATATTTCACATATAGATATAACAAAAAATTGTTTGAATAACGTCTATACATTATTTAACAAATTAAAAAAAAAATACTTGTTACAATATCTAACTTAATAATTAGTATTAGAACAATAGGGCTTGATTGCCGTAACGCTATATTATTAACGGTTTAATTCACCGCTGATGTCAACGAAATAACGGTTGTCCGTAGTTATCCGTTGTTATTGTCGTAAATTACCAATTCCAAGGCCGATGGACTCACTCTGGCAGGATCGTTTACTAATTCTACGATATAGTGGACAATTACGTCGGGACAATCGTCCAAACCAAAAATCTGACCTTTTTCACATTACACTCACTTCCATTTTTCTCATACGATCTCCGATTTAATGATGAACTCTATTATAATTATTGCCGTTGCGAATAACTAACAAATATGACAGATTTTAGACTGTACAATAAATTTTAAGCATTTTTTGAAGAAAAACAGGGTTACTAATTACAATTTGACAAACTTATGGATGTTCCAGTAAATAGAGAAGATAATCTAAAATAAAATAAGCGTGGTTTGACATTTGTTTTAGCATTACCAGATTTTCATTAGTATCTAACAACGATCAAACTTTAGGTACAACTGGATATATAACGTTACAACACAGCAGATATAAAGAATGTTGTCTAGTTTAATGACCGATATATATTTCATAATTTCTTTTTTAATAAAACCGTAAAAAAATTTTCCGTTGTTTTTTTTTTTTTGTTTTATTTCTATACTGCCTAGGAGTCTGTATATTGTATGTCAATAGAGATTTAATAATACGTCTCATGCGTGTGACAAACGTAGAAACGTACGTGCGCGGGAATTCCATGAAATTATTACTTCTTATAACGTTCGACATTTATCGCCTGACGTCCATATTTTATCCATGACGTCTACAATGACACCTATACGTGGTGGGAAACAAGAGACATATTTAAAATAATCTGATCTGCATTATCTTGTTACCTATTTTTAAACTTTCTTAAATAACGAGAAAACTTGATTAGAACAGGAGTAAATAAGTCTTTGCTTCTGTTTTTGTGGTATAGTACTTGTACAGTATTAAATATTTTTAGTACTTTCATAATAATGTAAATTTTCATTTTGATTGACGAAGTATCGCTAACGATATGAACGAACAATTTTTTTTTAATTAATTATATAATATCAACCGGGCTCCCATTTCAACTTATAATATGGATAAATGTTCCCAAATATATTTATTTAATAAGTAGATATTAGGGGCCTGTCAATTTTTATCGTAGTCAACCATTAAGCTTTACGAACTTTATGCCGCTACCCGTACCTATCGCAATATTTGTAAAGCTAGCCTGTGTAAAGTCTACATTAACGACTCTTGCGGTACGGAGAAGTGAATAGGACGAGCCAAACAGGCGCAACAATCGACTTTGTCCACGGATAAAGGTTATGTTTAGTGTTAAAAGTTGACAAACGAGCGGGCGGTTCGCCTGATGTCAAGTCTGCCGCGTCCGCAAGATTAAAAAGGCGCGCCCCGACCTCGGTAGGGCAGCTAGATCATGCCGAAGCCCTCGCCGCCCTCGTTGATGGCCCAGAGCAGCGCGCGCACCATCTGCTCGTAGTTCTCGTAGTCGGGCAGGCAGAGCTGGTTGAAGCAGGTGTGCGCGGTGGGCAGCGCGCCGAAGGTGGGCGCGGCGGTGATCTGGAAGCGCGGGCTGAGCTCCTGGAAGCCGCCGGGCGGCAGCTGCGAGCAGCCGGTGGTGAACTGCAGCAGCCGCGCGCGCTCCTCGCCGCTCAGGTTGGCCACCGCCGCCCAGAACCAGCCCAGCAGCCGCTCCCACTCGCGCCCGCTGCCCGCCACCAGCGCGTGCGCGCGCCAATCCGCCACGCACACCTCGCCCGTGCCGCACACCAGCAGCTGGACACCACCGGCGGCAACAACCGACACCATCACGCGTACAAATGGAAGTGGACCCATCACCCGTGCGCAACAGCAGCTAAGGCACATCGGAAGATCTGCCTTAGCTGCTCGAACGCACCATCTGCTCGTTTCGTCTGAAGAGGTCACTATCTCATTTTCACCCGACAATGAAATAGTGACATCAGGAACCCCCGCGACCCTTAGTGCCATCACTGCACAACACATAAATTCCTTAACGCGCTATCATACACTAATATTTTCGATGATCAAAGAGGAACACAACGAAAGCGATGGCTCGGTAGAGGCGGTTATTAACGATTAAGTATTTAAATGAGTAGATGTAGTGTATTCGAGGCAACTGTCAACGATAAAGCATTCAAGTAAGTAAAGTAAAGTAACCGCCTATACATGTCCCACTGGTGGGCAAAGGCCTCCTCTATACAGAGGGCATCAGAGCATAGTCCACCACGCGGCCCCACTGCGGATTGGCAAGTAAGCGATGCGGTTCTATTCTGCGGTACCTCCAGCTCGTTCTCGTCGAAGATGGCGAGCAGGTGGGCGGGCACCAGCAGCGCCAGGCCCCTGAGGAAGGCGGCCACCTCTGCCCGCACGCGCGCCGCCAGCCGCCACGAGGCCAGCGCCTCCAGGTACGCCAGCTTGGTCGCGTTGCTCACCTGCCACGCCGCGTATTCACTGTCCGGTGAGTGAGGTGGCAGGCCCCTCTTTACTCAATGGTTTATTGTTATAAATGCCCATGGGCGACGGTCATCAGGTGAACCGCCGGCTCGCTTGCCACCTTCTCACAACAACATCATCCTCCCGCCCTTACCCCACCTAGGGGGGGTCGGTACATGTGAATCGTGTTTTAAGAGGCTTTGGCTATTATTTTCACTACCGGCCGCCTGCGTAACGTCAACCCACCTTGAGAACGAACACTCAATTCCGGAACAATTTCTGTGAGACACAATTTCTGTGAGACACACACTTCCCACTTGTCTCGAGTGGGAATCAAACGCACGATCCCCGACGCCGAGGCTAGCTGAGCAACGACCTACCTTCTCACATAAAAAACGACGACTGGGGGGAGAGACGCTTCCACCGCGGCCTTACCCGGATCGCCGAGCCGTTGGGCACCAGGTCGCGCGTCTCCACCAGCCGCCCGCTCGAGTCGTACACGTCGTCCGAGAAGGTGAGCTCCAGCGCGTCCTCAGCGTCCAAATCCGTCTCCAGCACGTACTTGATCTTCGACAGGTAGAGCTCCGGATCGTCCTGTTCAAAGTACTGTGGAAGAGGGTGCGTATTGCGCTTAAAATACCTGGTATTTCATTCGGTCTTCACATAGCACATAGGAAGCCTTCATCAACACATTGGAGGAGTCAGCAGTTATGGGTGTTAAATATCTGGAATTGCGACTGGAATCTTGATCAAAAGATTGAAGTTATCAGCAGTTATGGCTTAAACAAATGTTTTAATATGACGAAGTAAAACATGTTGCGTCCCATGTAGAGTTTGGACGGGAGTTTAGAGCCTTGCGGCATTCTCACACTTAAAATTCCATGAGACAATATCTCGGCACGTAACTCGCTGAATGCGAGTTCATAAAGGGGGTTGAAAATCAATGGCAGTCAGTAAATATCATAATTCGGTGACAAACGGTGACGTCACGCGCGGCCTACCATAATTCGGTGACAAACGGTGCCCACCTTGTAGTGCACTCGCAGGCCGATGATCTGCGCGAGGAAGGAGCGCGTGAGCCTGGCGCGCACCAGCTGCCGGTAGGAGCCGCCCAGCGCCGACTCGTACAGGCACTTGCCCACCAGCTTGCCCGCCAGCTCGAAGTGCTTCAGCTGCGGACGACACCTCTCACACGGTACCAATCTAACCGATTCTCCGCTAGATCCTCTCGCGAGCAACTCACTTTGTGGCTTTGTTAGTTGAGCTAGTTAACTTTATCTCAAGCGAACGTCAATAGAATGGACACGAACTAGTAATGTGGGGTGTGTTGCCCGTGCAACAGCCGTGGACGTCTCGGATGAAGCCTACGTGGAGATATGACCAGGTGTGTTGTATGGTGGTGTGGTGTGGTGTGGTGTGGTGTGGTGTGGTGTGGTGGGTGTGGTGTGGTGTGGTTTATTTAGAAATGAAAGAAGTGGGGTACGGATTGTTATAATGTTTCAAAATAGACATATACGATGACGGTTTTCTAGTCGATGGTACATGCGCAGAATTTTTCACAAGGAGCGCTGACGTCAGAGCCCACAAACTTGCAGCTAAGCGACCAGTGCACGTTTATCGACTTATGGTCGCTTTAAGTGTTCTATCAACAGATAAATTTGGTTACTGGAGATAGTATTTTGACGCGAGTATTATGGAGCCGACGTCAAACATCTGTCGCTGGGAACTAGATCTATCCTATATAGTACCTTACAAACCTATATACAGCGTGTCGTTACCATCGCGACAATAAATGAAAACACACGTCTAAAGCTACTTGCCAATAATCATAAAAAAATATTAACGTTAAACAAAATCCGTAATTAAAAAAAATATTTTTCAAATAAATTAATTAAGTAAAAAAGAAACAAAATTTGTAACATCCTATACAACTAGCGCCACAGCGTCGCATTACAAGCCTCTCCTTCTAACAGTATGTTTTGTCTCTTTAAAATTCATTCAACCCATTCATATGCTTTGTGACCTTTACAAATTAACTTTACGTTACAGTTTTATACGTAAGGGTGTTCTAAAATTGTTTGTTTTGAAAAATTTAATAATTCGGTAAATATTGATGTTTAAAGAATGTAAATGTTTAATACAATTTTAACAAGTTATCCTCTATATGTGTGTTCATTTATTGTCGCAGTGGTAACGACACGCTGTATATATATATATATATATATATATATATATATATATATATATATATATATATATATATATATATATATATATATATATATATATATATATATATATAAAATTTGACGATTCATAAGAACGGGCAAGCGTCTATTTGAATAAAGATATTTGATTTGATAGAATTGTGAGAGCGGGCGTTAGTTCGCACCTTGAAGGAGTCCTCGCCGCCGCAGTTGGCCACCAGCAGCTGGGTGAAGGCGGCCGCGATGAGGTCCCGCTGCGGCGAGGAGAGCCGCAGCGCCGGCTGGGCCCCGTCGTCCAGGCTGAACTCGCCGCCTGGACCGCTCCCGGTGCGCGGAAGCAGCGTCAGCTGCGAACCGGCCGAATACTATTCTAGGCTATCGTCTCGGAACGGTATATGCGGGTGATTTAAAGTGAGCTGGACTGAAGGCCGGTTCCAATGTTCTATTTGCAGATAGTCTTTGCGAGCTAATGTCAAATAGCTATTGCTCCAATATTCTATCTACAGGTACATTCGGTTACCGGAGACAGAATTTTGACGTATGGAGGTTACGTCAATTGCCTATCGCCAGTAACCAGATCAATCCGTAGATAGAATATTGAAAACGGCCATATAATTCTCGATGGTGGATACGATATTGAAGGGGATTATTACAAATGAGATGTACTTTGGAAAGGGTTCGTCCGCAGTCGAGCAGTGATATAGCAGATATACAACACTGTTCGATTACTTCCACACCAAAGCAAACGCACAGGTAAAATATCACCTCAGTGAAATTTTCAAACAGCTAGAGATGGGTGGACATGAGTAGGATGTCTCAGATACATTGCATCTGATGTTAGTCAGTGTGTGTATAATTCAGCAGCAGTGAATTTGTTTTCTGTTCAGCATATACATATTAGGTTCTGTTTTTTTTTTTTTTTAAATGTAAAAAGATGGGAAGCTCGCTGGCGGTTCACCTGATGTTAAGCGATAACCGCCGCCCGTTGACATTTGCATCACCCGTGGGGTTACAGATGCGTTGCCACCTTTTAATAGAGCTTGACCCGGTATCCTCGCTCACCAGACGAAACTCAGAAGTATCACACAACAGTAAGACTTCCGGACCGAACGGCCCACTCGTGCGACAGCGAAGCGTGATACCGAGCAAGACCTGGCGCACCTTGGTGGAGGGGCAGAGGCGGAATGTGGCCACGCGCTTGGGGATGAACTTGAGCACGTAGTCCTTGAGCAGCAGCTGCTTGGCGCTGAGCAGCAGCAGCACGCGGCGCGGCTTGGCGGCGCCCAGCAGCCGCGCCTCGAACGCCGCCGCGCCCCGCCGCCCGCTCACCGCCCGCTGCACGCTCGCCGCCTCGCTCGCTGCCGACCCCCTCTCTCTTTCTCACACCCTCTCACTCGCACTACCGTTTAGTGTTGCGTGTGCTATGTACGACGTCACCCGCCACCTCACTTTTCTTCTTGATTCAGCAAATTTTTTATATAACACGTGTGTGATTTTATAATACGCTTTCACCCTTTCCCTCCTATCTTAACCTCTTTGTCGGTCTCTCTTTCTATCAAAATTAAGATCGTGCATCATACGAGTATACTACACTTAGGTAATACTGATAATAATATCTATCAACTGGTTTCTTTAAAACATGTAGAAAAAGTACGAAAAGATTGTCGCCGCTGTGGGAATCGAACCCACGTCTTCGGCATTCGCGGCCTGACGCTCTAGCCACTGAGCTAAACGGCTGATAGCCACAGCGACGAAAATCTTAACGACATTGTTATTTAGCATTTGAAGCCGGTTTCTTTGCAGAGGAGACAAACCAGCAAGGGTTTAACCTGATGGTATGTGACCACTGCCGCCCAAAGACACTGCCAACACCGGGGGAGTCACGAACGCGTCGCCAGCCCTAGATAGGATAGCCAGCCCTCCTCCTATGTAAGTGGCGTGAGATATGGAACGTAACGAGAGAGGGAGAAGCGTCGAGTGCGGCGCTCACCGGTGAGCACGATGCAGTCGAACTCGCCGTTGTGCAGCAGCGCGCCGTCGTAGGAGACGGCGGCGCGGTAGACGCCCGCCTCGGGGAAGCACATCTCCACGGCCACGCGCTGGTTCACCGCGTCGTACTGGAACGAGGCGGCCGCCGACAGCTTCTCGTCCACCTCGCCGCCCGGGCCCCGGATCTCGATCGAGAAGCCCTGCGGGTCCACGCACGGTCAGCTTCCTCGGCCCCAAGGCTTATTAGATCGACCGGGCTACTGAAAGCTATTCAATCGGGTCCGTTCGAGATTTTTATATTTTTACTGTATTGACGACGGCCTATTTTATAAATAGTCCCGTCAAAGCTTGGTTACTTATTACATCGTCCAGCGCAATCCACATTTTCAATCATACTTATTAGAGCTCTTGATGTTGAGGTTAATTATGTTTATTGGACAACGCTAATGTTTAATGTGAGGCTTGTAATTGTGTCTTAACTTCGTAGATTTGGACCGGTTTGGTGATGAAACGGTAAGCAGCTCGGCGGTTATGTTTATAACAATAGTATTTTCTGAGATCGGCGAGCCGACTGGACGGTGAAGTCGGTGAACGCATCTAGAAGGTCGACATTAAGCGATAACCGCCGGCCGGAGACAACGGGTGCGCAAAGGGCGGGGGCGGCACCCACCGCGGCGAGCGGCGCCGGGTTGTCGAACTGGTCCCTGGGGTGCACGTGCAGCGCGCGCGGCCTGCCGGCGGTGCACACGAGCGCGGCGGGGGCGCGGCCCACGCGCGAGCGCCGCGCCATCGGCCGCCCCGCCACGAACCAGCGCCGGAACGGGCCGCCGCCCGCCTGCGCGCCCCCTGCCACGCGGACCACAGAGAGCGATAGAGAGGGATAGAGAGGGAAAGAGAGGCACGTCGCGCGGCATCCGAGGTCCCCATCGGTGGGTGTCGCATACGCCTGTTTGCGTGATTTATTTGCAAACAGGCGTATGCGATTATGATATGACCGCGCCGGAAATACCGAGGTACAGACCGGCTGAAGCCAGGAAATCGTTTGTTAGTAGATGTATTAGCTTATATAATAAAATATCGTGACATCCACTAACAATAAAATGTAAACAATTTCAGACATTTTGTAAAAATCACCTTAATGGGAATGGCCTATTGTGATGTGGAGGAATACATTGAAGACAAGGATGTGTGGAAATGACTCTTGGTCTGCACTTGCTAGTCCTGGTAAACTTTTGTATACATACAAAATTAAAAAAAAATACAGAGCCGCAGTGTTTCTTGCCAGTTCTTCTCTGGGCAGGTCTAGTTTAGTGAACCGATTGTAATTTTTGACGTTCAATAAGAGCTTAAAATAAGTCTGTGTTAAATAAAGAAATTTTGACTTTGATTTTAAAACTAAGTAGAGATGTCGAAAAAATATTGATATATCAATATTTTTGATTCTATATGTCCGATATTTTCAGCCGATATATTTAGATCCGATATATCGATATAAAATATTCAAAATCAAACTCACATTCCGTGTCAAAAACTTAATACTTGACATACCTTTCTATTAACAAGGGGGTTTCTAGGACCTATAGCCTATATATCGATAATTATGTCTATCTTTTCCATATTTCGTTGCCGATAAAAAAATATTTTTATAAATAGCGATATAACGATATAATTCTTTACTTTCGATATCCCTAAAACTGAGCTATATCGCCGACTAGAGCGGGGGAAAGAGAGAAACGTAGGCGACGCGCCGTCAAATTCCCAATGAATGAGCATGACGCATTCAATATCGACATATACACAGTATGTGCCAGGTCAATACGTTTTTTAATACGCTGTGTCATTCGTTATGTTTTAGATACTTGCTGTGTTTTACTAATAAAAACAATAATTTTTTTGCGTGTATGGAGTGTAAGCGCATGGTTACTATTACCACACGCCACTACTTGTCACACCAACTCACCCCTAGCCCGCCGAGCCATCACTCACCGATGGTGACGGAGATGAGGTATAGTCCGGCGGTCCGGACGGTGAACTTGACGCGGGCGGTGTGGGCCAAGGCCGGGTCGCCAGAGCCCAGCTCCATCACGGCCGATATCTACAAAGCGGCAAGCTTTTAACCGTGGTAGGGCCACGCAACGGTGTACGCTGTTGTACGAATGGGCAGGCCCGGGTACTACGACCTCACAGAAGACCGGCGTATAGTGGAAGTGTTACACTTCTGCGTTTCGATCGAGGAGGTAGCCGGGGCCTACTTTGTTAAAAGGTGGCAATGCATCTGCAACCCTACGGATGTTACAATACATAGATTATGACTGTAGTATTGTATTACAATTGCTAAGGTTAAGTTAGGAGCCTAAATAATTACATGTAATTGATGGTAAGCTGTTGCTTAGCTGTTGGCTTCGGCGTCGGAGTAGTGGGTTAAACTCTCACACAGTACAAGAATTTCTGTGACCCATAGATAATTTTTCTAGATCTGGGCGTTGATTTCCAATGAGGGTTGACTTCAGGCAGGCGGCCAGGAGTCATAAACTTAGCCAATAACATTAGCAACATGACTGGCATGTTGTACCAACCACACCTTACGTGTGTTGGATTAATAGAACAAGAACTTTAATGTTGTCTAATCCGAACCGAGATAGCTCATTGTCCGGGCGGCTTTTAATTCAATATACTCTAGCAACCTGAGTTCGATCCCCGGTGCCGGCACCAATGAAATCGTTAATTTTAAGTGCTGACTTATCACGTGTTCCGCGGCAAAAGAAAACATCGTGACGCCTCTTTACAGAGGAGGGCTCAGCAGTGGGACATATATAGGCCGTTATTTTACTTTGATTTACTAGATTTTAATTTGATTTAATATTTTTAATTGTCAGCAAAAATAGTCTCGTCTCGGCTTGACTACTGTCACAGTTAATGTGTTTCTGCATTTGCTTTTCTAGAACGGTAATAGTGGATCGGTTTCCCCTTTCGATCGATTGATAGGAGTCTCGCAAGTGACCAACCTTTCGGGCGCCGTGCGAGATGATGACGTTCAGCTCATCGGTGTCGCAGATGGGGTAGGGCTGCCCGTTGCGCTGGTAGCAGAACACCGTGAAGCACATGGTCTCGCCCACAGGCTGCGGTTCCTCCCAGCCCCATTCGATCTGTAACCAACGATCAATGATCTCGCCAGCAATACTTCCGAAAGGATAAACAGAATATATCTCCCACCATGATTTCTTTTCCTTACGCCCGGTTTCAACGGTAGCCAAAAGGATGGTTAAATAAGTAAAAGTTGATCAGAAAGATCAGAATAAACAATTCAAAGTATTTAACCATCCTTTTTGCAACACAAATGACACTTGAGAAGCCATTTGACAGCTGATTAGTTAATTTCTACGATGATCACTGTTTCAGAAAACTGGCGTTAATATTCAGAGTAACTGTTTTAAGAGTTTTACAACCGCCTGAGATTGTAATTGTGAATGTTAGATATTAAAGTTTACTCCGATAATGTAAAGATTTGTGCTTTTTAGATTAGCAAAGCAAATATGAACATCGTATATACAAGAGAGAACGAAGATTTAGGTGTAGATGACTCCCAGCCTGCTGAATGAACTCGATAAAAAGACAGTGCTTAAGGTGGCGTCGATAAATGCGCTATGAAGTAGACCTGAGTAGAACATTAACTTGATGTGTGTATTTTTGAATTAGAATAAGCAATAGGCTCTCCATGTGGTACAGTACAGGAGCCGACACGTGTTAGAGTGGACACCACGTTTAGGGAAACGTAGTGCCGGACGGCCTGCAGCAGATGGATGCGGGCTGCCCAGGACCGGAATAGTTTGCGCACTTTGGGGGAGGGTTACATTCAGCAGTGGACGGCATACAACAATACCATATCAGCCGGATGTATTGTATCTTTTGAAAATTGCACCCTACAAACAAACAACAACCCACCTTGCAACTGGGCGGGTGCAGGTATTTCCCGGTGACGTATTGCAGCAGCGAGTGCTTGGCTTCGGGCGCCAGCGAGGGCTGCGTCATGGCGGCCAGGGTCACCAGGCCGCACACCGACACCGAAACCACCAGCATGCCGCCTGACAGCATTCAGGGAATACATGAGCAGTGTTCGTCATTTTATGTTTATTTATTTATTTATTTACCCTTTATGCACAAATAGTAACTTAATGCTAAAAGCATTATCTCCCAGTAAACCTTGGGGTTGCACAGAGAAAATTAGGTAGGTGCACAGAGATATATCCAACAAGGAAAACGCTAATATTTACAAACTATGTAATGTATATGCATAAGTTAAATACAGTACTAAATTATCTATGATGTATGTTATTTTACGTCTATTTCTAAGCGCAAAGACTGATTGTATGGGAAAAGTACCGGCACACCAATATTTATTAATTTTGTTTTATTTAAAAAAAAAGAGTTAACCGGAATAACCGGCAGAGTTCCTGCCGGTTATTCTCTGAACAGGTCTAAATCGGTATAACCAGATGGTGGTTTTTGGCAACCAATAAGAGCTTAAATTATTAACCCTATATTGAATAAAGAAATTGTGACTGACTTGGTATATTGATCAGTTTTGTTGTTTTGTTTTCATTTTTATTTATTTATCGCCTATTATAATAATTAATGAAGTCTTGTCACATATTCATTCCTTATATTTTCTCTAATACTACAACTTATTATACGGATCTTCAATTTAAAAGATCGAACGTCGATAGTAGCACCCAGCTCTTCTGTATTTTATTTCAAAAACCTCATGAATACTCTTAATCGGAATCGGTCTTTTGCAACGATCTGTGATAATCAGTAAAGATCATTTAATCCTTTCTCATAATTCATTAACAAATTCCTTATAATTATTAATAGAATCCGTAAATACAAACTATTCAATCACCTCAAATTAAATTTAATTTGTAACTCCCAACACTACACACGCATTACAGAAGCCATGCTCACTGAAAGGGCAGAGACCTGTATAAGTAAGTTTGAAAATCCTCACCCCACGTCCAGGCATCCTGGTGCTTGCTGTTCTTGACCACGGCACTCCAGAGGTCCGCCTTGAGGGTCTGCAGCGCCTCCTTGCCGGTGGGCAAACTCTGGCGCGCCGCGGACCACGTGCCGAAATCCTTGGGGTCCAGCACGTGGCGGGCGGTGGAGTCCTCCAACCAGTAGACATCCTCCAACGAGGAGACGTCCAGGCCGAGGAGTCTGAAAGTATACTTCAGTTCACCCAACTTACAACTTTGGTGGGGCCACGCATCAGCATCGGTTGTGCGAATGGGCACGTCCGTCCGGGTGAGTACCCCGACTTCACAGAAGACCGGCGTAAAGTGGAAATGACATGCTTTCGCGTTTCGTCTGGTGAGTGAGGTATCCAGGGCCCACTTTATTAAAAGATGGCAACACATCTGCAAACCAACGGGTAAAACAAATGTCCATGACATGCCAGCTCGCTAGCCACCTTCTCTCATAAAAATAAATAAATAGCATAGCATAACATGCAACAGAGCCGTGATAGCTCAGTGTCCGGGCGCTCGCCTTTAATTCAATAAACTCGAGCAGCATGAGTTCGATCCCCGGTGCCGGCACCAATGAAATTGTTAATTTCAAGTACTGAATTATCACATGTTCAGCGGTGAAGAAAAACATCGTGAGAAAACCTGCATAATTTCGAAATAATAATTAAAAAAAAATATTTCGAAGATATGTGAAGTCCGCCAATCCGCGGCCGCGTTGTGTACTATGCCCTGATACCCTCTGTACAGAAGAGGCCTTTGCCCAGAAGTGGGACATGTACCTATAGGCCAAGGGCGGATCCAGGGGGGGGGGGGGGGGGGGTCATGGGGGTCATGACCCCCCCCTGGGCTGGGTCCAGTACCTAGGTGGACCACTAATTAAAATTTTTAAACAATGTTTTTATATATGTTTTGCCACAATATAGATTTTATGTAAGTACCTTTAATATCTAATTAATTTAATATAATATTTTAACCGACTTCAAAAGGAGTTTCTCAATTCGATTGGTATATATTTTTTCGATGTATGTACACCGATTACGTTGAGATTTATGATCCGATTTACGTGATCCTTCTTTAGTTTTATGCAGAATAGTTGCCATTTGGTCCCATAAAAATTTAACATAGTTTGGCCAAGTATTTTTCATTTTATGAACATTTTTACAATATTTAATGTTTGTCATCAAATCTTGCAAATTAAATTTGATTCACTTGCCGGTCATCGGTTGAGCTGAAATTTTGTATACATTACACATGTATACAAAATTTTAGCTCAAACGCGAGACAATGCAATATTTTTATGAGATGGTGCTGATCTGATGATGGAGCTGGAAGGTGGCCAAAGGAACTTCGCCATGAAACGACAGAGTCACATCGCGTTTGGGTACATTTTAATCGTATTGACGAGTAGTTTGTCTTTCATTGGTAACCAGGATCTGATGATGGAGCTCCATCTTCAGCCGTCCATGGACATATGCATAGGATTGCAGATGCGTTTCCTCCTTATAATAAAGCGGGCCCCGGCTCCTCACTCACCAGACAAAACGCAGAAGTACTTTACGCCGATCTTCTATGAGGTCTATGAGGCTATTCTGTGAGGTTCCAATGACCACTCTGTAATGAAACGACTCAACCAGATCGAGTTTCGGCTCGTTTGATTCTTCTTGGCTAGTACTTTATTTTAAGATTGTTACCAGGGTCTGATCTAATGATGGAACTGGAAGGTAGTCATATGCGTGCGGAGTAGAGAAACTGAAAAATATTATAACCAATACGACTACATAAAATCTGGTAACGAAGAAATAAATAAAAAGAAATTTCAAAAATAAGTAAGCCTATCAATAGCTACTTAAAAAAATACTAATTAATGTATTAAATTAAATCTTTATTAAGTTATTTTGTACCGTTTGGTTTTTGAAGTCGGTTTTTTTAAACTTAGTTTTTTTTTAATTTTTGTATGATTCCAAACGCACTATTCAGGAACGAGCACTTCGAAAATATACTTTTTTTACTATATATACCTTTTATAGATTTTTAAAAGCTATAAAATATTAAAAAAGTTAAAACCGTTTTGTTTGTTTTAACACTATACCTAAAGCATTACTTAATAGGTATACTACCTAATAACTATTCGATTTACTACTATTTTCCGTTAAACGTGCTAATTGCCGAGACTAGATACTAATAATTAAAAATGACTCTGCTCTTCTAATTTAAAGGTGGGACTTCTGGAAACTAACCTAAACAGATAACGCGTTTCGGGAGAAGACGTAAAAGAAAAATTTATTTTGTATTTAAATATAGGTATTTTCAATAACAGTAAGTACTTACATACATATACAGCGTGTCGTTACAACCGCGACAATAAATGAACACACATATAGAGGATAACTTTTTAAAATTGTATTAAACATTTACATTCTTTAAACGTCAGTATATACCGAGTTATTAAATTTTCCAAAACAAACAATTTTAGAACACCCTTACGTATAAAACTGTAACGTAAAGTTCATTTTTAAAGGTCACAAAGCATATGAATGGGTTGAATTAATTTAAAAGAGATAAAACATACTGTTAGAAAGAGAGATTTGTAATGCTACGCTGTGGCAACGAATGAAAAAGTCTGAATGTATGAATCAGTCATTTGCAGTTGTATTGTGACAAATTTTGTTTAATTTTTATTTAATTAGTTAAATTATGGATTTTTTTAACGCTTATATTTTTTATGATTATTGGCAAGTAGCGTTAGACGTGTGTTCATTTATTGTCGCGGTTGTAACGACACGCTGTATATATGAAAAGTTTTTTAACAAAAAAAGAACAGACTTCAAATCAAATTATGTACGTAACTATTACAATTCGTTACATGCAAAGCAATGCATATTTATGAGATAGCAGCAAACACGGTCGATTTCCTGTCATATTTCGAAGAGTTCCGTTGCTATCTCCGAAAATCATCATCTAATCTATATGAAATTTATATGGGACCATTTAGAAATGAAACCCTTTCAAACAGAAAAAGAATTTTGCAAATCCGTCTATATATGACGAAGCTATGCCATGATATACATAAAAAAATATAAACATCCAAATTGATGATCTCCTTCTTTTTGAAGTCGGTTAAAAATACCTACTTTTTACTTGTATCTATGATTATAAAATTAAATTATAACTTCATATCACTTGACCACGACTATGTGACCCCCCCCCCCCCCTGGCACCGAAGCTGGATCCGCCCTTGCTATAGGCTGACACTTTACTTTTTTTAGCATAACATAAGCAAGCCTTCTTTAGTTAATTTCCGAGAAATTCAAAAAGAAAAAAAAGAAAGGTTTTCAATTAACTCGACTCCGATACGAAATCGTAATGCACATAAAATTTACTTTCGTGAAACGGTTTTTCAGTAAAAGAACATGTAACTATAGTATAACAACGCAGCCTCCCCAAATGTTGATTCCGATGACAATACGACCCTTCTCCCGGATTTCAATTATCTCCGCCGCCGCGGCTCCACGATGCCTCTTGTTACGGCGAAAGAGACCGCAGCTCTTTGTTCAGACCTCGCTGAGGCTCTGCGTACAGAATAAAGCCGGCCACTGACGACGCGATCGCCTCGTCAGACGTTTTAATTAAAACTGTAAACCGTTCCAGATAAAACAAACCCATTCTAATTTCGACAGATGTATCTTTACCCGTTTATGTATTCGTTTACAAACTTTTTTTCTCATTGAGCTAGATTAGAAACTGTGGAGTTCATAAATGTAATACAATTAAGTATTATATCAGTTTAGATTTTTTTTCTCGGACTTTTTCCTACACTTCATTCTACTAAGTTTATGTTGGGATTATTTACTGACACTTGGAAAATGAGTGTAAAATTTTGAGTGTTACGAAATTCAAACCACCTTTATAATATGTGTGTTTGCGTCCTTAAAAGCGTATGTGTACATAAGTATATGACGTACTGATTAAGTTTACAATTAGTTTATGTATATTTTTTGTTGTATAAGTTTATTTTCATGACTTAAATAAAATTATTTCAATTTTATTGCCGTTTATTCGTTTTTTATATTCCATTTAATATAAAAAATAGTAAAAATGTAGATAAGTATCGCAAAATTTTAACCGTTAACAGGATTCAAGCTACACCTTCTGGATTAACCTCATAAAAAACCCAAAATGCTATTTCTTTTTTGACAGTGAGAACATGTTTACAATTTACTCATCAACAGACAAATCTTAGAACGCCACAACGAACGACACTTTGTCATTTGCATCCGCCATCTACGTTACCCTGGAAGAGCGTATGAATGTGGTCTATGGTGCTGAAGCCTTCCCAGCACCCGGGTGGTTCAGGAGGCTGGAAGTCATCAAACCTGCGTGCGAGACGATTTCGATTCGTATTGACTCTAGAATATATTAAAGTCCAATTAATAAATAACTTTCTAACCCATGTCCGACGTCACCTCTCGTTTATTTTTTAGTGAACTGCCGCACAGTCAAGTGTTCGAGTCTCGAGATTGAACTTTTCATATTTTATGTGCCTTACGTACAAAAATGATTAAACGCCGTGTCTCAATTTTGTGCCGTGACAAATCATCTATTATTTCTGGAATTAATATTAACTCTACAGGTCAATTTTTATTAACGAAAAAGAATCATCAAAATCGGTTCAAAACTCCTCTGTATTCATTTCGTTAGTTTTCTAAGTATCTAAGCCCAAATCCAAACCAAAAATATTATGGGACCAATGGGAAGTAAAGCTTTCAAATAAATAAAGAATCAGTAAATCGGTTATAAGTCGTGTAATAAGTAACAAACGAAAAAAAATTCAGTCGGATTGAAAACCTCCTCTTTTGAAGGCGGTTGAAAAAACACTTTAGGAAATATAGCCAAATAACTTTATTTTAAGCTTTTTTTTTGTATTTGCGATTCAATTGCATTATATAATTCTACTAGCTACTGCCCGCGACTACGTCTGCGTAGAATAGGCTTAAGGCGTAACATTTGAGAGAGAAACAAATATACATAAAATATGTATATAAATTATAGCCTATGTGTTATTCAGTGTATAAGATATATTATTGTAAAGTTTCAATATAATTTTTTCTGTATTTGCGATTATTGCGTGAAAGAGTAATAAACATGCCCCGATACGTACGTACGTAGAAACTTAAGGCGTAACATTTGAGA